GTCATAGGGATTGATACAACTTCGGTGGTCCTTGTTAAAAGGTCTTCTTTTCCAGATGGAGCAGAAAGAACAACTGTGCCTTCAGCCCAGGTAGGATAAGCAACAATAAGTGTAAGACTTCTACTTGGGAGGCCTCCTGCATACTAATTTGCTCAGGACAAATGGGATGAGTTTCCTCTCCAAAAATAATCACCCCTAGTCCTTCTAGTGTTTTGGGGGGAGTTGTTGTTTTTTTCTTTTGGCTAAGGCAGAATTAGAACTCCTGGTCTGTATCCTGTTGCCTCGGAAATAAAAGTCCCCACGTGAGAAATCTGCACCAGGCAGACTCTTCCTCCCTTTGGCGCTGAACAGCTGGAAGTTCTTCTCTCTGTGACGGTTGAGGAGCAAAAAGTACCTCAGGATTTAAAAGCCTCGGAATCAAAGGCTCTCTCTGAGGAAGGGAGCTCGCTTATTTCGCCCATTACAGCGCCAAAGCCATGAAGAATAACTCAAAATTAATTCTAAAAAAGGGTTAAATCTTGGCTTTCGCTTCCTTTGGCTAAAGATTGAGGCCTCTGGCCTGAAAACAATCCTACAACGTCGCCCTAAATTTAAAATAACTGCGAGGCAGACGCGATCGTCGTTGAGACGCTCTGAAGGGCGAACGGAATAAGCCCCTGCTGGCCACGCCCCCGCCCCTTCCTTCTTAGGCTGCCTTCGTCACGACGACCCAACTGCCAATCAAGCAGCAGCGACCAATCAGACGGCACCACTAGGCAGGCAGGCATGGGAGGCAAGATGGTTGCCTGAGAGGTTCTGTTACCTCACCCTTGACGACGCCTATGGCTGTATAAACAGAGCGAAAGAAAGAGTGAAATTTAAATTAAATTAAATTCAGGAAAGGAGGCAGCAGCTGAGGAAACTGAGGAGAGCGAGGCGCTTTTTTTGGCTTCCCTCAGAACCGGCCTGAGGGAAAAGTTTCCCTCAGAGAAGAAACCCGGGAAGAAACCTGTACAAAAGATGGAGAAAGTTTAGACTTGAACTGAACAAAAATAGAAAACAGAAACAACACCCCCCCCCCAAAATAAGAGATGGAACTCTGGCAAAAGGAGTTTATTTTATTTATTAAATTTATATGTTGCCCATCTCATGTTCAAGTGACTCAGTTTAATGACCAGTGACGTAGAGAAAGATTAAGCCAACAGAAATATAAAAGCCGGCCATAAACATAAACATAAACATAATAATAATAATAATAATAATAATAATAATAATAATAATAATAATAATAATAATAATAATAATAATAATATAGGGGGCGAAACTTTGGCCCCCTCGGAGAGGGCGCGCAACTTGGGAGTCCTCCTGGATTCGCGGCTGGCACTGGATGACCATTTGTCGGCCGTGACCAGGGGGGCGTTTTATCAGGTTCGCCTGATCCACCAGTTGCGGCCTTTTCTGGACCGGGACGCTCTGCGCACAGTCACTCATGCCCTCGTCACCTCCCGC